ATATGTACATAAATGTATTTATAAATATTCTGAAACAGAAAATCTACCTGTATACTGAGAACATTCCCCGATTGCTCTGTGTCATCTTAACATCTTTCCTAGTTCATTGTCTGTGTAACAGTTACAGACTTTACTCTTACTGACATCACAAATTTCAGTTTTAGTACTTTAGCTTTTGGATGTAGGAAAGAGTTATTAACGATTACTGATATTTTTGGACTGTTTTGGACCTTAAGGAATTCTGAATATGGACAAAGTTTTCCTTTAAGAACAGAAGCAGCATGAGTTTGTGTTGCAAGGCTCAAACCACAAGATCCTCTTTTTCTTGCCTGAAACTGTTAATTCAGCAATTTTGATTTCACTATCTCTGTCTCAGATTTCACAGCCTGCACTGATGACGAGCACCAGTCACTTACGTGGTCATATTTTTTTCTTATATCTTCCTATTTGGTCGCCTGAAATGTTTCCGTCAGAAGAAAAGAGCAGAAATACATAATTTAATATAAAAATTTAATGACTTTTAGGAATATTTTCCCTTCCTCCAAAAGAAAATAAAAAAGCTCATTAGCTTTCAATTTGAAAAAGATAAAGACATTATCATAGCCAACATGTAGTTGGACTACTTTAACATACAAATAAATCAGTGGAAATTCTCTTCAGTCTTTTCTATCTGACAATTGTTGTACTCACAGTGTGCAGTGACGGCTATGATGGAGATGAGCAGGACAGCACACAGTGTAGCCAGGCATATAGTGGCAAGACGGTAGGGCCCGGGGCCGCTCGGCCTGGGGATCAGTCTGATTGGGGAGACTGGGTGAGCTGAAGAAGAGAAAGGGGGAAAGGTTGTCAAGATTAAGATAATAGAAACATTTCTGGAGGTAAACAGTATGACATTTTTTGGTGGGCGGGGCTTAGCTGGAGACAAAACAATTCTCAACAGACATTAGTGCTAGCTAGGAAGTTCTGTTGGCTTGCTTTAGACAATGGAGGAAGATGATGTGAGTGATTCATTCAGAAATACTCATTCTGAGTGTCGGGGCGCACTCTGGCACAAACCGGACTGTTTGTTAATTCAGAGTGCTGTCGGAATGTACCATTTGCTTATCCAGAGCACCATGCTCACAGAGTGGCAGAGCACACTCTGGGCACTCTGTCTGGGGAGATGGGGCAGTAAAGCACCGAGCGGAGTGAATGAGTGATTAACATAACTGTTTGTTAATTCATATAGAAATAACCAATAACGTAACAACTCAACATTTTAAGACTCCTATGTCTACTACAGCCCTGTGTTGGAGAGTGTCTTGCCTCCAGCTAACAAACTGACGTCATTGTGAAGTCAGCCCTATAAGGGTCTATATACTGAGAATATTTGCACATTCCTTAGTCAGTATTTTGTACATTCTGTCTTTGTATTAACACTGTGGTGCTCTTTTCATTTAACATACTTCTGAAACACTTAAACCTAAATAACCACAACATTGAGCCCTTTAAATGTGAATGTTACAGTGAGACTATTGAACAGAGAGAGAGTTAAAAGGCAGTAAAACACAGTTGCTTCATTCAACACAGAGGGTTTTTGCAGCTACAACTGGTGGGTCTAAGCCCTCTTATTGTTGGTACTGGGGTGCCACATGGGTCTATTCTTGGTCCATTGCTATTAACATTACATAAAAATAACATTATACATCCTAATCAGTACTTCTGGATCCATTTCTATGCAGCTGTTACAATTGTACCCTCCCCACTGTTCATTATTAGACAGATGGAACAAATGTATCTATGTTCATTTTTATACAGATGATAGAAATGTATCCTCATAACACAGGCTTTAATTTATCTTCAGTCTGCCTTTGATGCTTTTCAATTTCAACTTGTTTTTTTTTTAATCATGGATGCGTTTTAAATGCAAAAGACCAAGTACGTGGTATTTTCCATATACACCACTGTCTCTGACTATCCTGCCATTAAACTCTTAAATGATACCCACATCACTTTTGCTGAAGTCATACAAATACCCAAGGGGCTTTCACATCATTAACCTGGGCCAGAACCGAGTACACTTTTTCCCAAAGTCCAGTTTGTTTGATTAGCGTGAATACTGTGTACCATACCCTAGCGTAGTGCATCAATCCATGCCACTTGAAAAGGTGGTCTTGAGTAGGTTTCATGTGTACTTTGGTACGCACCAGGTGTGTACACCAGCCGTACCAAAACATGTAAATAGATTGCTTTTTAATCAAGTGGCAACCTCCAGGGTTAAAAAGTGAAGCCAAAAACTGAGCTCCCTTAAATGGCCACTTGAGACTGGCTCTGGGAGCCAGTCAGACCCCCATGTTAAAATGCCTAACTTCACAGCAGAAATAAACATGTTTCCAGCCTTTGGTCTCTACTGCTAATTTCCTCCTCGATGACAACTCAATGGGGGTGAATTTGTGTATGCCTTGGTTGTTTACATTTTACTGCATAATTAAGGGCGGACCACTTTGAGTGACAGGCTCTCTACTGATAGTGATCCCCTGTCTATTTTTGTAAGCTGAAACCATTTCCCTCAGAGGAAACAAAACTTTTATTGACCTTAATTTCACAAATAAGAAACAATAAAGCCTCCGCAAAAATAGCATTTTAAGCCTTGTATGTGATTTATCCTTTGGGGATTTATACTTAAGGATTTATCCTGGCTTCGTATGAGCAGAGGAACTCTCTGCTCATCGCTAGGCTAATTTAAACAATGTCAAATGCCATAGGCTTGTGTTAATAATGTTAGCATGCTGTATTTGTTTGGAAAACCTGTATAAGATGGTTGTTTTGTCAGTGAACCTTGTGAGCTGTAACAGAGCCAAATTTTGTAACGTTACCTACCTACCTAAATGTTGCTGTTGTCCCTGGCTTCATATGAGTAGAGAGAAGTCTGCTAGCCACTAGGCTAATTTAGACAATGTCAAATGCCATAGGCTTGTGCTAAAAACATTAGCATGTTGTATTTGTGGGGAAAATGTGTCAAGACAAGGGCTTTGTCTGTGAATGCTGCGAGTAATAGTGAAGCCGATTTGCGTACTTGTGTTTGAAATTGTTGCTATAAGCCATGTTTACTGTGTTTTTATTGTTTGTTTAAGGTGCGCTTTGAATCAGCTAAACTTTACAGTACTTCACAGAAACGTCTGCCTCTGACTAGTGTTTTGGAGGTGTAACTGCAGAGTGACACAGACACACCACCACACATGCTCACAACGGTGTAGGCCACATGCATAGGCTACAGCTTAGGGTCTGTGGCGCAAGTATAAATCCCGCTTAAAGCATACCACCTCTATGGGGTCTAATCACCAAGGACTTTTGACATTTTTCATTCTTATGTGCACATGTTAATAAATATTCTTTTTACTATAAATCATAAATGTCATGTAGATGATGACGCAATGTTGTACAGAGCAACATTACTAATGTGAAAGCTGAGCAGAGGGGGAGTGGAGAGGGGGTGCAGCCATACGTGTAATGTATGTAATATAATGTGAAAAGTTACTTTTAATGAGATATGTTGGTTTTGCAATGTTATGTTTATATAATGACAATAAAGTTATTGAAATACCAAGAAAGTTTTGTGATGTATACAGTTTATTGTAAAAATGGAATAATTCTGTATTTGGTAAAAACAAAAAAAATAAGTCATAATAACATGAAAAACATGTTATAACATGAAAAGGATTTTTTTAAACACGAGAAAAGTTTCTTACTATAATGACAGCATTTTAAAAAATTATTCATTTGTTCATTCATTTTCCGTAACCACATATCCTAATGGTGGTCCGGGGGGCTGGAGCCTATCCCAGCTGACATTGGGCGAGAGGTGGATACACCCTGGACAGGTTGCCAGACTATCACAGGGCTCTGCAATAGTTTTTTTTTGTCAAAGTCAACCAAATGTTAGTAGACCAGAAAGGTCATTAGTTGGCAAGATTTCATTTGTTGCTTTGTCGCAGAAAAAATAAAAATAAAACAAACGTAAAATTCTATTGGGAGCTGTGGTTAAAGACGGGGCATGTGTACGACCCTAATTTCCAGGGCTGGTACCTGCGGTTATTCCACAGGCTAGTTAATAACATGTCGGGCAGGAAATCCAAGGTGTGGAATCATTTTGAGAAACTGAAGGACGAACCCAAGGTGATATGTAAACTCATTCGTTGATGACAAACATGAGGTATCATCTGACACATGAAGTAGCTACATGCCCATTAGCCACTTAGCACAATCAATACTGCTTTGCTGACAGCGTCATTAACAGGCGGCTCGCTCAGTGTGTGACGTGCACTTGTAGATAAAATATAGGCCTATATTAATGAAGGTTCATTAATATGGTTTTGTATTTCTCTGTAATGTCGCACAGTGTTAACAATGTTATTGATACTATTCTTTCTCAGAGCTTGAACTCAAACCATTGTGTTGCCCCACCCAAAATATATAATTCAATAATTAAATTAATATCGTAAACATGCGGGCGACTAGTCGAATTATGGCCATAAATGACGATTATTGGTCAACTAGAAAAATTCTTAGTTGGGGGCAGCCCTAGTGGCAGCAATATACTACTGTAACTTTCCTCATTTCCTCACTTATGAGGTCTGGCAGGTTGTTACATTTTCACTTTACAAAGTTTATGCTGAAGTGTTAGAAAGACAAACACCCTTCCTTAACCCCTCAATCGCACCCTACATGACTGTGCTCCTGTATTATTGCATTAAAGGAACTGAAACTGCTGTGGTACATGCTTTCAAAAATGATTCACATCTCTCATGGCCTTTAGACGTCTATATAATATATTCACGTACACACTGTTGCATAACACAAATCTCTGCTCTGTTCAGACTTGTGAAAAACAAACATGTTAGAGCAGTTTCTGGAGTGTGGGAAATTTGTCTGCACTACAATTATCAAATTAAAACCTGTTTTGTTCGTTTGGATGTGATGCGGCCATCACCAGACGAACATTTATTCCCACACAGATTCATATATTTATTATTATTATATTACTGCTGTTTAAGTTGTTGTTCGCCTGTCAGTTTAAGGAATATATCAATTGATGAACTCCTGCCACGAGCCAACTGTCAGATTTAATCAACCAATCAGAAATGATGCAAAGCTGATTCCAGTTTGTGACAACCTCTCCGCTTCACCTAGTGTGCCTGCTTTCCTGACCGTTCTTTCAGTTTTAGGATGCCGGTCAAGGCAGAGGGTCATCACTTACCTCATGATCCACACCTGGGCCAATGTGCTTCATGATATAAAAGCTCACCATCTTCAGCAGACCTCCCTCACACAGAGCTGCTGTTCTTTTGGTTTTTCTACCGACATTTCCACACATCTATACACACAGACATGACTGATTACTGACTTTCAAGTTTGTTCAGTTAGTTATTATTATTTTGTAAATAAATAAGCTTTTAACGCTTTGTAAACTTGTCTCGTCTTCCATCGTTGTTTGCCTTCAGGTAGCTTATAAGCCGGGTTGTAACAAGACTCAAGAAAAATGGGGATGCAAGTGCTATAAAGACAAAAGACACTGGCTTCAACTTTTTGACTTTTTACTAGTGCTGTCAAAATAACTCATTCATTTTGTTTAATTAATCACAGAAAAAACAACAAGTTAAAAAAATTAATGCTGATTAATCACGCTCTGTGGTGCCCTTTGACCTGGTGCATCATTAAAAGCCACAGTGGCTTTGTCACATGATGGAGGCAGCCTCGTCAAGCCACACTCGACCAGCTGTTCAGACGCAAACTGAGTAAGTCTACGGCTGCATCCAAATGTCCACCCTCTAGACTTGTGGACTGACTCCTCACGGACTTCAATCGTACATACTGTGACATTTTCACCGTCATCACATAAAGAAACCATGGAAACATTTGAGCAACGATTATAATCATTGCAACTGCTGTCACATTCTGTCTGCTCATCTGTCCCTGCAGATAACAAGATATAACCCCTATGAATAGGGTTGTTTTGTGAGTGAACAAAATAAAGTTCTGTATAACATTCAGACTGCAGGCATTCAAATACAGAGATGGTTGTGAATAAAGACTGGACTTTGACTACATGAAGGGGTAGGCCCATTTGTTACATCAGAAGTTCTTGTGTTGTTTTTCAGCCAATTTTCTGGCCTTTATATTTGGCATTACACTGTGCAGCCTGTAGGGTAGGCTACAATGATACAATGCACCCTCGCAAAGTCTGCGAGTCTGCAAGTGTGGTAAAGTCCAGACATACCTGACTTAAGTCAAAAACCGACAGGACGGCTCTCCCACACCTGGAGCAGCATCCTGAAGAGGCGGCAGACGGACAGCAGGTGGCGCGACCGTCTTGTCAGTTTTTGACAGGATGGTCACACCTTCCTAATATCGGCTAATTGACAGATCAGCTGATAAAGACATGTCACAACCACGACCAAGTGACACTAATGAGGAAGGCAGAAGTTTCCGCTGAAGGTATGTAATATCCTAACCTGTCTGAGATAAAAGAACAACTAAAGTCATTATCATAAACTAAAGACGTAATGAACACCACTGAACCAGACATACCTGTACTGACTAACTAACTCCCTTGCAAAATGGACTGCAGACCAGTTTTGCTGGTAGAGGACAGGGGGACAGTCCAAAATCCAGCAGCTTTACAACACATCTGCCAACTTTCATAGCAAAAGTTGATGTATATAATTATATATATAATTTAGATTAATAATTCACAGCATATGTAATTAATTAGATTAATCTTTTTATAGGCTTGACAGCCCTACTTTTTACACATAACTAAAACATTCAAAGGACAGGAAGTCTTTCATGTGTTTGTGTGTGTGTGTGTGTGTGTGTGTGTACAAATTTAAATATTCTAAAGTCATTTGCCGATACACCGGATGAGAAAAAGTCAAGTGATCATCAAATTATTCATCCTCCAGGGAACATGAATGTGAGGACTCTGTGACATTTTGTAGACTAAACTATGGTTATTTTTTTCTTTTTTAAGCCTGTTGTTTTCTATTCTTGTTTCAATCTGTATTTTTTCCACTACTGAGATAGTTTGTTTTGGAACTTCACAATTTTTCCTCTTATGTTGCACTTGCTACTTTTGTTTTGAAAAGTGTTTTTTAAGCAAAGAGCTGAAACAATGAGTCCATTAATCCATCAAACAGACTAAACATTATCTATAAGCACATAATCATCAGATTAATTGACAATGAAAACAGTAATTTTAGTGAATATCATAATATACAATGAATAATGATGATAATAATGATAATAATAATAATTAAAACTATTACTTTTTGTAACATAAATATTTATTCTATATTCTACTGTAGGATCCAAACTGTGCTAAACTGCCAATACGGCCACATAATGTCCTTACCGCCGTGTCCAACATCTGGCCTGCGGTTCAGATCGTCATATGCGCCCTCATCATCTATCAGTTTGGAATACATCCCCTCGTAGGGCGGGGAGCTCCCGGTGGTCGACATTACAGCGGTGGAAGATTAAACACTGTAATGGAGAGTTAAGAAAGTTTCAATGCGGATAGAAAGTACAAACTCCCAGTCAGGCTGTCCGCTTCTCCCCCTGTTCCAGCGGTGTATGAACCCTCCTTGTTCCACTCTGCTGTGCAGTTTGTCTTCAGCCCAAACTGGAGTCCGCCCACTTCACCGAGCTGACTGACAACAGATAAACACCGCTGTCCGATAGCAGGCAAGAGTCAAGTAGCCTATGGCAGAGTCAGATGCTTTCCGGCCATGTATTTCAAAATAAAAGTCCTAATGATGCACAGGCGCTGCAGTTTTGTGATTTTTTTTTCAAAAACAAAATGACAACTTCTATGGAAGCCCATTTCCGCCACTGAAAGAAAAAAAATCCCCATGCTAATCAATAAGATAAAAAGTCAAAATTATGAGATACAAACTCCTACTATCACCTCGCACAACCATGGCATGTCTGGCATGCTATAGGCAAGGCTAAATAAGGTAACTACTACACGATATTTTTGTAAAGGTTGGGTGCTTGATATAATCTTTTATTTTATTTTTATTTATTTTTTATTTAAATTAATATGATTATATATTTTGATTATGAAAGAGCCATAATAATACCAATACTAATAGTCTTATCACCATTGTAGTACAACAAAATACTATATTTAAGAATGAAATGGTCTTGTTCCATCATTTAGCATTTGTGTCAGTTACTAGGCTCAGTATAGCTTGTGTGCATAAAGAGGGAAAAGCCAAATGGAAATGTAAGAGCAAGCCAAATATGTGACGTAAAGTTGATCAACTAGTTGTTTGCATGTAACAAGATGTTGCTGTTGAGATAAATTAGCATATAATAAATGTAGGTTGTGCAAGGTCTTGAGTCTAGAGCTGAAACAATTAATTGATTATTAAATTAACTGCCAACTATTTTGGATGGTTAATTTATAGGTTTGAGTAATTTTAGAAGGAAAAAAAGTCAAAATTCTTGATTGGAGCTTCTTAAATGTGAATATTTTTTGGTGTCTTTACTCCTGTATCACAATGAACTGAATGTCTTGATTAAGGCCTAATGCACACGGACCCGTGTACTTCTGAAAATGAAGTTTTTCGGGCTCCGGTTTCCAAAAAAAAATTTGTCCATACAAGTGGTGTGACAAAAAACATACAATATCCACACAAAACCACAAAACCTGCTACCAAGTGATGTAATACACATGCGAAAGCAGTAGGTGGCGATGTAACTTCTACCGGAAAGGCCATTTTAACCAATCAGAAGTCAGAGTCAATACCAGAATAGGGAAGTGCGGAAAATAAAAATAACCCGATCCACAAACATATTGCAAAACAACCTTACCTTTCTTTCTTTTTCTTTCTTTCTTTCTTTCTTTCTTTCTAACGAACAATGGCGAATCGAGGCAGGGGAAAGTCTTTTTGTGTGGACAAATAGCAAAGTAGAATTGCTCCTCAAGGTAACAAATTAATACAAAGTGGATAAAATACAAGAAAATGTGGACTGGGAATCTGTCCAGGCAAAGTATGCCGATATTCAAGCTTTCTTCATTGAGCAGTAACGTGAAACGTCCGATGACTTTCCTCATCGCAAGGAGGACATAACCAGGGCCATAATCACCAATAAGCTGAAGCAAATACGGAGCAAATATAGGAATGCAGTAGACAAGGGTCGTAGAAGTGGTTTTGGCAGAGTGGTTCTTCTATACTTAGAGCTTTGTGAGCAGGTATGGGGTGGTTCACCTGCAACCACTGCCATTGCGTCCGGCATAGAAACCTCAGATATTGATAGCGTCTCGCCAGAGTTCAGATTCTAGCGTTACCGTTACAGAAACGTCCGAGGTGTTTGAAGAATCAGACTGACCCAGCACTTCATCGGCGATGAAGCAGAGAAGAGATCTACTCCAGGTATGTATGTAAGGCTTAATGAAGGAGTTCTTACACTAATGGATATAATGAAAGTAATGTAGGCTAGCTAGCCTATGCTTGTTGTATACCGTTATATAGGCCTATGTAGTTTCTCTTATGTACACAACTGCGTGTGGCCAAACAGCCAAATCGCGTAGAATAATACACGGTTTCAGAAGTACACGGTCCGTGTGGACTAGGCCTAAAACAAGACATTTAAAGTAACACAATGGAAGATTGCGTTTTTTACCTCACAGGGTCCCCCTACAGACGAAAAACGGTATTGTCTGTTAGAACTGTCGCAAAAATCGTTCTGCGTGTGCATTTGTTGACAAACCAACGATACTGGTGAACTTCCTGAAGCTGGCCGTGTAATGCGCGATCATCATGTCTTCAGAACAGGTAAAGTAGCCTTATAGCATTTTGTACATACATGATTAGGCCGATTGCTTTATTTATTTATTCATTTTCAAAACTCAGAAATGAGTTGCTCTCTGCATGTCAGGGCTGACCTCCTCCTCATAGCGCGCGCGCACACACACACAGACACACAAACTCAACAGTGAAGTCAGACAACTATGGCAAGCCGTTTGAGCATTTATTCCATATCCTTGATATCAGGTGTCAGTGTCGTTCACTAGTTCAATCATTGTCAGCACTAGTTGGACATCTGGTCACACTAGTTAGACATTTTGTCCAACTAGTTGAACAAAGAGTCTTACTAGTCACTCTTTTTCAGCAACTAGTGACACTTTTGTCAAACTAGTAACAACTTAAGCCTGACTAGTGAAGCCACAGAGCCATACTAGTGGCACCAAAATCCAAACTAGTCAGCTTTTTGACAGACTAGTGGCCCACTGGGCTGAACTAGTAATGCTTAAAGTCTTACTAGTGAACTAGTGAGCTGCAAAAGCTCTGACTTGTTAACTAGTAGCAGCTATTCACCTCACTAGTTTGCTAGTAACCTCAAGTTTTTTACACTAGTTACACATGTAAGAGCCAAAATCATCACTAGTGTGACTAGTAAGGATTTACACCTTACTAGTTAAACTAGAAAAAGTCTCATTGACCTTACTAGTTAACTAGTGGGGCTTAAAATGTTTACTAGTTGAACTAGTGGAAGCTGAAATACTCACTAGTTATACTAGTAACACCTTATTGAGCTCACTAGTTAACTAGTGAGATCTAAAATGTTTACTAGTTGAACTAGTGACGCTGACATGCTTACTAGTTGAAGTGTATTTTGACTTTTCTAGTTAACTAGTGAGGCAAAACACGTTACTAGTTGTACTAGTGGAAGCCAAAATGTGCACTAGTCACACTAGTGACAC